TATTGTAATTACATTGTAGCAATATTGTAGCAATCTTGTAAACATATTTAGCAAAAATCGAAGGTTTCAGCAAAGCAAGTACAAATTCGATGTTCGTTTAAAGTTCAGATCAAGATTTGGCCACACACTGTTTTAATAGGTACTGAAACTTTAAACGAATATTACTTGACACTTATCTAACCAAATTCGATTGAATTTTTTTTATTTTAATTCTATAAATCTATGAATTAAAATAAAAAATGGATCGAATTTAGTTAGGTAAGTGTCGAGTAATCTTCACTCAAAGTTTTAGTACCTTTTGAAAAAAGCTGCGGCCAAATTTTGGCTTGAATTTTAGCAAATATTTCTCAGTAATGACCTGTACAAATTTGATAATTTTTTTTTAGTTCAATTCTATAAATTCTTAGAATTAAAATAAAAAAAATTTTATCGAGTTTGTACAGGTGGTTATTGAGAAACCTTCGCTTAAAGTTTAAATAAAAAATTATTATAACTTATTTTTTAAAAGTTTTCTTTTTAGAACCTTTAAACGAAGGTTTCTCAACAACCACCTGTACAAATTCGATAAAATTTATTTTTTAATTCTATGGATTACAGAACTGAATAAAAAAAATTTTATCAAATTTATACAGGCCGTTACTGAGAAATATTTGCTAAATTTCAAGCCAAAATTTGGCTGCAGTTTTTTCTAAAAGGTACTGAAACTTTGAGCGAAGATTACTCGACACTTACCTAACTACAGTAAGACCTCCATAAGTGCACCCCCTCGGGACCATAGTAAAAAAAAAGCAAAATATGCACTTAAAGAGGGTGTTATTTATAGAGAACAAAATATATAGTCTCTTATAAGTTGGGGCTAAGCTATGCCGTGCATTTAGAGAGAATTTACATAGGGCGTGTACTTATAGAGTGTGCACTTATGGAGGTCTTACTGTAAATTCAATCAATTTTTTTTTATTTTAATTCTATAGATTTATAGAATTAAAATAAAAAAATTTCGATCGAGTTTGGTTAGGTAAGTATCGAGTAATATTCGTTCAAAGTACCTATTAAACAGTGCTGCGGTCATATTTTGGTTTAAACTTTAAACGAAGATTTTTCAATAATCAACAATTTAAATTCGATAAAATTTTTTTATTTTAATTTATAGATCCATAGAATCAAAAAAAATTTTTTTCATCAAATTTGTGCTTGCTGATAAATCTTCATTTAAAGATTTAAAAGAAGTAATTTTTCACGATTTTAGCTTATTTTTCACCAAGATATTTGAGTTTTTTTTTACAATTTTATCGATAGTTCTCAATGACCGTTAAACCAAACTTAATAAATCTTTTTTTATTTCGATTCTGCAAAATTATAGAATTAAAATAAAAAAGGTTTCACTAAATTTAATCAAGTAGTTATTGAGAAACCTTTGCTAAAAGTTTAAAAAAACATTAAAAATTTTTATAATACCCAATCACAGTTAAGGATTCGAAGGTTCTAGATTGCAAATCAGTGAAAATCTGTCGGTGCTGCTGGGGTAGTTGGGAGTTGTGAGCGCATTTGACTTCCCCAATTTCGAGACACTTACCGCAGTAGATAACTTGCTGACGCAAGGTAATCTTGATCGTTTTGGGTAGAAGGTCTTTGCTACCAAGGGACGTGCACAAGTCGTTCTTCAGGTCCGCAGCCTTCTGCACCAACTCTTTTATATAGTTCTTCTTGCCCTTGAAGAAACGCTCCAGTATGGGGTGTTTTTTGACTAATTTGTCAACGTTATCCACAGATTCCTTACGGTCTTTCACGAAGTCATCGGTTTCAAAATTTTCCCACTGTTCTTTTGCGATCGTATCTGTTATTTTTTCCTTATCCGGCATATCCACATCCACATCCTCCCCATCATCGTCAATACCCTGTGGAAGCTGAATACCTTGATTCCACTCAAAGAAGTTATCCTTATTCCAAATCTCCTTGATGTGCCGCAGCTTCTCGCGATTATTCCCGAAATATGCCTTTTCATAAGCTTTTTTTGATAGTTCTCCGTTGGCAAAATTGATGAATGCGGCCTTCCGCTTCAAAGAAAAGGGCCTCAGCTTCTTCTTGATCTCCTTTAAGAAGCCCCTCATGTCCCTCTCCATCCATTTGTCCTCCCAATCTACTGTGAGATGTGTGTGATACATAGCTTCATGCCAGAAGAAAGCTGTATCTGAAGGTTCCTTCTCCTTCGCCTTGCCCCCAGAATGAATCCAAGTAACCAGAAACTGAACTTTTTCCCCCTGGTAGAGGCGCCGGAAAGTTTTCATCTCTTCCCAGATGATGGTGGTGGCTGTTATTAGCGTTGTTGAAAACGAAGGAGCTGTAGATGCTGTAGGTCTTGTTAGTGGGGAAGGCTTTTGTGGTTTTCTCTGACCACTAAGCCACGAGCGTCTCGTGAAGGAACCGGGTAGACTTTTCAGGCAAGGATCGTTGTTTAAGTTGCTTTGCCAGCTCCGGCTGTTTGATGTATTTATTGATAAGTTTGTCGAATTCGTCCTTTTCGCCATCATAGTAGACGAGGAACCGGACTCCATCGCCCTCTTTCTGCTGGAGGTTGCACATCCAGGTGCTGTCAATGGTCATCTGGTTGGGCCAATCGGTCGTGTAGAAATTGTTCATTGTAGTTATTAAGTCAAAATAGTTTATCATATTCATAAGGTCATTCGTGATCCTTGCTGACTTGAGGAACCACTGATATCTCCCAGCTACCACCACACCTTCCTTGTTCTGCAGCTGCTGGACCTTCAACTTTATCTTCACCAGAATATCAAAATTACAACCACCTGCACCGCGGAGTGCCCAAAAGAGTTTGCTCTTCTTAGAGTTCGAATCATCATTGTCTTTAACAGTAACCAACTCCCCGTCTGCGGTCACAACAGTGTCCTCCTCCAGAGTGTCACATCCCATTCTGAAGCTTCTTGTAAACGGACTGAGACTGCCCCCCAAAATGAAATCGCTCACTCCCACAAAGGGGCAACGCCCACCGTTGATGATGAACCTGTTGTGCCGGCCGTTGACTAGTTTTTTGTACACATGGCCCCAGTTGCAACCAGCATCCATCGTGACAATTTTCGATTTGATGTCGAGCTTAACCTTATTTATCTTCCTGAGGTCCAGCGAGATGCCCTTGTTGGCGGTGGAGTGTCCTGCATAAGAATGACCACCACACTTGATAGATATTTTGAGCTTCTGCGCTCTTGCTTGCTTGATAATGGGCTGGATATGAGAAGCGTCCTCAGGTTGAATCACCAAATGGGGTCTCGAGAAGCGGAACAGGAGATTTGGAGTCACGACAGAACGCTCATACTCCTCCTCTCCAGGTTCAAATACCAGGATTTTTTGGGATCTGAAGAGCTCGTTGGCCTCATCTATAGTTTTATCCATAATGTTGAGGAACAAGAACAAAGCCGAGTCTATTGGAAAAAGGTCTACTGTATATGATATATATACCAGGGGGCTCCGGAATCAAGTCACATAAGAGGTATATATGACGCCTAAATCAAATTTCCATTTTTGGTAAAACATGATCAACGAAAATAGTACTCTTGTTATTTGCAACACAGTAATGAATTAATTCTATTTGTGCTTGTAAACTGAATGCACAGTTGCTTGTGTACTTGGGAAACTGAATATACAGTTCGTCTGCTTGTGATGCAAGTGTTTTTTATTCTCGTGTTGGTCATGTGCTCAGGAAACTAAATGCGCAGCTCATCTGCCCGTATTGTAAGTATTCTTTATTGGCACGTTGCCTAGCCAGTTTTGAGTGTCTTCCTCCAAAAACCATATGAGAGACCAGCTGGTTTATCCCCAAACTGGCACATTCCTAAGTTAGCTTTTATTTTGCGTGAAAATTTTGTGGTATATACATAAAAAAAAATCCTGGTTATGAAGTATGTTCAATGGAGTGAGATAATGTAGAAAAAATTTTTCATAAGTAAATCAGTGGCTTTTTATAGCATATTGATTATGCAAGTTGATAGAAGGTATGATAATCTCAGAGATTGTGGTGATTACAAAACCTAAAAGTTATCATTTCTACTATCTACGCTGATATAGAACGATAAGTTCTTTCTACTTATGGCATTTTCGAGATTTATTTATGCTGGTTCTCATTACAAAGCATATGAGTGGAAAGTTTTTCTATGTATATAGCAGAAAAAAATAAGTGATAATCTATGTTGGACAAACTTCTATGCTGGTCCTGATTCGTAGACCTAAAACACATGACATCGCTCCGGGGCTCGTTGTAATGTGATGTGATTTACGCTCTATATCTAATCCAACTCAAGTAGTTCTGGAATATCATCATCATTATCATCTAAAATTCTTTCCCAGAGAATTTCTCCATTAGCTATCTGTACCAGGAACGGAGTGATATTGAAAATTTCATGAAGTGTATGGTTACTATAGCATTTTTAAATGTGTATATCTGCAAAATCTCATATCTGATTGGGCAATGTGCTAAATGCGGTAAAAACGTTAATATTTGTACTTAAACATCTTGTATGAGATTTGTTACCATATAAATATTTATAAAAATGTGCTTGTTGTTTATTATTGTCTTTCAGAATCCACTAACTAAATGTGGATTTTTGGTGTATAGTATGAGATTTGTTTAACCATAGCAACGTTCAATTTTTATTTCTTTAACAGATTTTTGTCTGAAGTTAATGACGATCAATGCTTTTTTTTATTATTGTCCTTCGGAATAGAACTAACCAAATCCGGATTTACTGTTAACTGTCCATTAACGGCCGGTTTTAGCTGCACAATGGTGCCAAGTCCTTAGCAAAAACTTGGATTTTTGCTATTTATGATTATTATTTAATAGTTATATAAATTATATAATAAAAATATAATAAAAATATTTAATATAAAATGTAATAAGTATATGATAAACATGTTACAAACATATTATAAAACTATGAAACAAATATAATAAAAATATTTTTAAGCCTGCTAAGTTAATATTAACACTATGATTATTATATAATAATTATACTATTATTATATATTTATTATATAATATTTTATTATATAATTTATATATAACAAAAATATAATAACAATATAATAACAATATAATAAAAATATAATAATAATGTAATATAAAGTATAATAAAAATATAATAAAAATATAATAAAAATATTACAAAAATATAATTAAAATATAATAAAAATACAATTAAAATATTTTACAAATTATATAAAATTTATTTTCAAATTATATAAAAGTAATTTATTGTATTTTAATTATATTTTAACTGTATTTTTATTATATTTTTATTATATTTTTGTAATATTTTTATTATATTAGTTTCATGTTTTTATAATATGTTTGTAATATGTTTATAATATACTTATTACATTTTATATTAAAATATTTTTATTATATTTTTATTATATAATTTATATAACTATTAAATAATCATAAATAGCAAAAATCCAAGTTTCTGCTAAGATATTATTCTACTTGGGACTTCTATCTTCCTAAAATGCCGTGACAAAGCAAAATTTGACACGACCACTGCACGCGACTAAAAATAATCCAACGCTCCAACAACAAAGTGACTGAACAAGTAAAAAAAACAAGAAATTCAAAGTAACAGCAGTCGCACAGAACAAACAGCAAAATTAAGGGCTGTTCATGTTACACACTTTGCGCTAGACGTTGCGGATGCTATTGCGAGGTGAATGCATAAGCGCTAATGTGATTTATCTAAAAAATTATCGATGGGCTATTGTTTTTTTAATAACAATATTTGTTGCTATATCATATTCGTATTATTGTTATTGTTTAAACCATTTAATTTTCGAAATCAAATGTACAATGCTCGAATAAAATAGTAAAACATATTTATAAGTTTATGTTGCTTAAATTTTTATTCATTTTTTTATTTTTATAATTTTTTTTTCATTTTTATTTTATTTTATTTTATTTTTTTGCAATTTTTTTTTTGCCATTTTATTTTCATAATAATCGGTATTATAATATCGATCATCAAAAATGAATGGGATATTGATGAGATACGTACCTTCGCTTCAAGTTTGTAAAATCTTGAAATTACATCATCAATTATTGAAAGCATGATAGTTATTACCAATTTAATGTAACTGAATATTCCACTATAAAAAGCTTTTAATGATCAAAAAAAAGAAGTCTATTTTACGGTAAAATCTTCAAGTTCCGAAATTAGAAATGTTGGATTTATCCAGGACACGACTTTGTGACCAAGATGCGATGAAAATTATATGCAATTTAAAAATAGGTTGAGCTTATAGAAACCACAGGCACTACCCAATTTGGACTGAAATGGATGGCAAAAGGTAAAAAAAAAATGATTGATTACTTTGTTATTTTTATTTAATAATAATTATATTTAAAACTTTTAATAAACAAATTTATATTTGTATAGTTCAAATATTAATTTTCCGAATCGGGAGGAAGAATTGGACGATATATTGCAAGCTTTTCCGGTAAATTTTAGTGGGTTAGGTATTGTTTTTTTTTTAAGCGTGACTTCAATATTATTATGAGTTCTTTATAGAATTGCCATTGGTAAAAATGAACTTGACTGGTTTTATAAATGTAGCTGATTCGGTGCTATGAGGCTAACTTTAAAAAATGAATATTCATTTTCATTATTAATTATTATTGAAAGTAAATAACTTATTTTGTTTCAGCCTTACTTTCTTATCCTTGTCTGGTACGAAATTGACTGACGTTAGAATGTTTGCTTTGAAAGGTATTTAATATTATGAAATTTGAATGGTTAATAATCTTTATACATACACATATATAGATTGGAAATTTAGTTGGATTATATTTGGATCGAACCTTAATTACGATGTAGGTATTGTTTATCTAGAAGTTATAGTCATCATAATACATATTATTACAAATGTTAACTGTATATAATAATGTCATTAATATTCAGACAAAATTTTCACACCTTAATTTAAATAAAGCGCATATCAAGAATGCATCATTGCCTCAATCCGTAAATCTAGGTTAGCTAATAGGAAGGAGTAAGAGAATTAAAAATAGCTTTTTTTCTACTAATATACGTAAAACAATTATTACGATTTCATATATATTTGAAATTATTTTTTAGGCTTATCGCATTTGTCTTGAATATGGATTTTACTCAAGTATCTTTGTAATGCCGTAATATTTTAGCTGGTAAAAACGTATCAAACTTCCAAATTACTTTGTAAAGAATTTTATGACACAATTTTAATATTCCTTCACTTCAGCCAGTTCGTCTTAATGAAATTACCAAAGAAGTTCGTGAGGATGTATATTTTGATGTTTAAAAAAAAAGCCCTAAATTGAAATTTATTATTATGTGTATCAATGCCAGATGTATATCTAATAATGTTCTAAGCATTAAAATAAATATTCAATAATTTTATTAGCATTTTGTAAATAAAACACAGTACATTAGTGATGATTAGAGGTGCAGGCGGTTTGCTGTAACTTTGTCGTAACATAATAAAGTTACGGAATTTTGCCGCAACTCATTATAATTATTACATATTAAAGAGGTAGTTATGACAAGTTACGGCAAAAGTTGCGCATCATTGGGACGATTCGCCTGCATCACTAGTCATATTTACAAACATCGCTTTTCTGTCTTTATCAATAAATTTCGATAAGCTTACTATCATATGATATAATTTTTTTCACAGGGTAATTCCCAAAAATCAGGATTGGAATACATCAACACTGAGGGCATTAAATTATATTAGCCAA